AGAATTAGGACTTAAAGGGAAATATTTTCTATGTTAAACCAGAAACACAATGTGATTATGTATTGCTTGTCAGTATACAAATGGTTGCTTTTTACAGATAATAAATGCAATTTTATATGTCCTCTTTAAAGGAGATCATAGTTAGTCAAATTTAGAGAAAGAAGACTGGGAAATTAAATGCTACATTAGAGGCCATAGAACAGAGGCTAGAGGATTCTTTAGACTGGAACCTTTGGTGGAGGTCAATCTGGAATCTAAAATAACATCAGGGAATGAGAAAGGGAACTCATATAATAAATATACAGATTGTATTACTGATGCTACCTTAGAGCAATGTAATTGAATAGGTTTCATGTTTCACTTTGTAGAGTTTTGAGAATTAATGTGTATGTGTACATGTTTGTGTGTGTGTATGTGTGTGTGTGTGTTGATACACTATATTAATGATATATGTTCAGATTTCCAAGAGGATTCTGACTTAATTACTAAAAGAAATGACTTTGAAATTGCACATTAATTAAAGATGGTGACTATCTTGAAGATGTCTTTCAGACTGAAGTTGTTAATGCTTCAATATATGTATCCCTTAGAATACAACGATGTTTTAGATATTATGATACAAACACATTACAGACATATCTTATAATCCTACAAGACAGGCCATCATCGAGAGATCTAACATGACTGTAAAGGAAAAGCTTATAAAACAGAAGGGAAAAAAGGAATCACTCAAAAAAAATTAAATAATGCTTTATTGACTTTAATTGTTTTAAATGTCAATGAGACAGAAAATATAACTGCTAAAATACACTGGATTTTATGCTAAAATACAAGGACTTATGAGTTAGTTCAGCATAATTATATGATAGCCTCAAAATGGAAGACCCTAAATGTGTTGCATTGAGAGAGAAAATATGCTCTTGTTTCAACAGAAAACAAAAAGCAATGGATTACTTTTAAATTGATAAAAGTCAGATTTGACAGGGGTAAAACTCCTCAAGATCTTGGCTGTAGACAAGAAGAAATCAGGAAGACTAATAAAGCAGGTAAATGTATTTCTGATCCCATACATAGGGACAGTTCTGAGATTAGTTGAGCCATGAAACTGTTACCACCAGAACCTCAGCTATTCATATCCAATAAATCTTAATGGCTGTAGAATTCTTAAGAAGTATCACACCATTCTCTCAAATGGCATAGATAGAAATTTGAATTACAGTATTCACTCAAATGGCATAGATAGAAATTTAAATTACAGTTTGGTTGTACAGTCCAAACTAACTTATATGAAAGATGACAAATGCCTTACCATATCATTTTTAACTTAATTATATACACTGTTTATTACATACTTATATTAATACAGAAATGTATAATACCTTTGTATGTTTATGTGTTCACAGAGAAAAACAAAAAGCAACAACAAAACCAACAAAATAACAACAGCGAAAACAACCCTAACAAGATTCATCTTGAGGAAGCTGAGATGCTGAGACATATTTATTCCAGCATCCTGCTTAATTCAACCTCAGACTACCTTAATAGTTGTTTCATCAAAACCTGCTTCCAGGACAACTTCAAAGAAAGTTACTGATCCCAGGTGGTCTAATATCATAGACTGTTCAATCAGGACTTCAGTTAAACCCTGAATCTTCTCAGCATGCAGGGACTGACCCAGAAATGCTACAGCATTTTTGCCAACCCCCAAAGGAAAACAAAGCCCCAAATCAGCATGAAGCAATTTTAAGAGAATGTTTATGTCCCCATTCCAAGATGAGGAGTGGACAGGTTTTGGTCATTAAAGGGATGATCAATGATTATTGAAATTTGGAGTGTCGGGGTGATGATTACAAGTTTTTAATGGTTTTGGTCTGAGAGAGAAAAACAAGGGAAGTTAAACTCAGGAATTTCTTTTTCTTTCCTATATTCTTCTTTTTCTTGTATCTAGTGTTAAAGGGAGTGGGTTGGGAAGAAGGAGTGACAGAAAAAGGAATGATATAGGAATAATATGGAAATAATAAGAATAAAGGGCAAATTATTGAATCTAACCTTAAACTGTAGAGTCACAACTAGCCAAAATTCTTACATGGGTATAGATCTTTGTATACTGATACAAAATTAAGGTTATATCTGGTTACAATATTCTATGTATTAACTACTTTTAAAGTACTATATGTAATTCTTGAACATGCAACAATAATGCCTAGTCCTTTGAAAGATTCTATTAGAAACAGTTTAGAATAAGAAATTCAAGTTAATAGTTAATCAGACATGGTCATGTTAAATACTAGTCTAGTTTATTACAGAAATATGTTTCCTAGGCTGAATAGACAGTAAGCTAGAAACAAATAATGTTTAAAAATTCAGATATACTATAATGTTCTTCAAAAACTTCAGAGGTCTAAATAATATGTCAATTAAAGATGTTTTTATTACTAAAAAGATTTTTTGACAGGTCTATTCCTTGCAGCAAGCCAATTCTACTTAAAAGTAGATGATAAGCATCTAAGAGTCTCCTTATGGATTTTCCTTCCAATGTGGAAAGCTAGTCACAGGGCAAGAAGCTGACCTTGCTTCAACAGCTGACAGTATGCTATCCAAGTGTACAAAGATGGATGCAGGGACGTCAACTGCCAAGAACAAGGTAAGTTAGTTCTTCAAAATTCCTGCTTCACAAAAATGTCAGTCTGCCTCATATCCTGGGCCAGAAGGCTAGAGACAGATGCTCTAACAAAATAGAAGAATTTTGTGTAACTTTCCAGACAGTCAACTCTCTTTGTCATTTCCATAATTTTGGAAGCTATTTACCTGAACTTACTATGACGATATTCATTTTTTCTCAGGTCTCTGATGGGGTTGAAGACTAGATAGAGTTCACAGTTAAGATTAAGGTTTTTTAGGATTTAAGGAAAGTGTTTTAAGGTATCGGAAGATGTTTTTAGGTTGGTAATGTAAGTTATGATAGAAATTGATTTAGGTACAGAACTTTAACCTTGGCAAGATAGGATAGTTCATAGAATACTTTCTCCATGGTTGTCAAATACATGTGAAGTGGACATTATTAGTGTAATCTTCACTGATAATTTTCATAATGTTATTACCATATATAGTTTATTATTATAAATTAAAGAACCTTTTATTAGAGTAAGGGATATAAATATAGAGATAATATATGGTACTAAATTAAAACATCATCTGTCAATAAAAGGTTGATTGGTCATTGAGCTGAGGCAAGAGTAGAAGTGGACATCCAATAGAGAAAAATGAATTTTGGAAAAATAGTCAGGCATGGGACTTCTTCCCAGGCACAGAAAAAGATGGTTACACAAAACTGAAGACCAGTAAGCAGCCATGTGGCATGATTTAGAATAAAATAAATGAGTTATTAAGATATAAGTGAGTAGGGAAACAGAGTCGCAGCTATTGGCTTAAACAGTTGTTAATAAATAAGACCGGTCAGAGTCATTATTTCTGGAACAAAGTGCACAGGTGAAAAAACATGAGGTTAACTTGTTTTCCACTATACATCTAAAAGACGTTATCTCTTTTCCTGTGCTATCTATAAGATTCTTCTATTTCTTCAGGACTTCAATCCACTCACAGCAAATAACTATCTTATCTCTTCACTTACATTTAATGTAATGTAAATGACATTTCCTCTTCCCGTGTGTCTTAACTTCTTTTTTATCTAAATTTTGCTTGGCATAAAACTTCTCCATGCTCTACCTTTAATCTGGTCGCCATATTCTTTTCATTTTTTTTTAAATAAACTAAAGTATGATTGCATCAACCTCTTCTTCAAAACCCGTTAGATGAAGGAAACACAAAGGTCTTCAGGATGGGTCATTGTCTACTCTGTGATATATGGAAGACAATAGTTGACTTTTCTCTGTGTTTCTACTTATCAATTCACAGATTAAACCCTAATGCTTTAAGTCTGTGGATAACTGCTCAGGTGCACCGTGCTAGTCGGAAGCTCTGTCACCATACCTGCTTATCATGACTTATTAGGATCATATCTTCTACTTGGTTGCTCAGGGAGCAAGGAATAATCCCACAATTTTTCTTTTCATTTAAAATTTCCAATTTTTCTTAATTTGACATTATATATTTGGCATTACAATGACTACATCATAATGACTCAGTTTTAGAGAGCATTTATATTCATTCAAAATACTTATAACTGCAAAATTTTGCATTTTCTAAATAAAAATAAAAATACATGGTTACTGCACTTAATATAAGATGGTACTAACCATTCTTTTTTGTTTTTTTTTTTTTTTGATGTTTGGTTTTTAACATAATGGAGTAAACGCAGTTATAACATGTGACTGAGCAGCCCAACATCTCCACTCTGAAATCTTCATCCTAAATGACACAAGGAAGGATTTGTAGGAACCATTTAACTGAGAAAGGGTTCCATATCTCTCATCAACATTCTCTGGGAGGTTTTTGGTAACCACAACAACATCCGACAGTGTTTGAATGCAGTGTTCACAGATTATTAATAAAGCACTCTTTGGTGAAACACAAGCAGCTCGGGCACTTCACACAGTGAACATCACAACAGTATTAACAAGAGGAAAGTGAAGCCGACTGTACCAAATCATACCTTAAGATGGAGGGTACCACTGGAGGGGTGTCCATCTCCATCTTTATAAGCTGCAAGTCGAGGTCACAGGCTGAACAAAAAAATAAATACCTGATCTGATCTCCGTCAGATCCTCCACTCTTCTGGAGGCCAGCAGCGAACATGGTTGCCATGACAGGCAATCACACTTGAGATTACAAAAGGGAGAGTCAGGCCCTCAAACAGGTCAACTACACCCCAGAGTCAGTGAGTGGATGAGAGGCCAGTGACATGTTCTTCATTGAATGAACTTCTTTTATGGAAAGAAGCTAATGCCATTGCAGACAGGCCTTGTTCTCAGATCGGTTGGCTAAATCCTTTTGGGGTTTCCTGTTCCTAGTCTTCCCTGGAGTGTCACCAGTTTTTTACTTTAACGTAAGACTGTCTTAGTCCTTGAAATGGCTGGACTTTTAAGATTGCTTTTCTCCAAAGCAGATCGGGTGGTTCGTTTAGTAATGCCTGCACTGCCAGAAAGGTTAGGTTCAGGGGTTTTACAGCTCTGAACATTGGACTGAAGAATTACTGTAAGGGGGATAGCGCTGGCTTTCGGTTGTCTCTGGCTTTTCAGGGCGTGAAGTTTGTCTCCTTGTGTCACTCCACTGACTTTATCATCATCATTATACGGCTCAGGCTCTTCATTGTCTTGATTCTCAAGCCCATTTATCGAAACATCATCAACATCCAAAAGGTATTTGGAGAAGGCTTCTCTGAGGGGTCCATTCTCCTGCCCTCTTAACTTTTGACGGAAATAGTCGCCTTCTAGCCAGAGGACTGATTGTTTCATGACCAGAAACTGTTGCTGGGGCCCAATCACTAAGCCAGGTCTACAGATTCTGAGCCAGGCAATGCTCTTGGCTGCTGTCATCCTGTAATGCTTCATGAGGTAGCAGCCTATCAGAGTATCTGTCCAACCAAGGCCAGGTTTGCAATGCACTGCAATGGCACCCTCGACACTTTCACAAATATCCATAAATTCTAGGACAATGGTCTCAGCAGGGGTGCTGCCATCGGGAAAGAAAAGATGGTGGTGATCAAATCCAGTATCTGTAAAGCGCTTAGCATCATACATTCTCTTATTCAGACGAATAATGGTAGTTACGCTGTGACTCTTAAAATATGGAATATAAGTCTCCAGAGAATGTTGGTGGTAACCACTTTCCAGCCTGGATCTTGAATGCGGCCTACAGAAGTCAAGAAACCGCTCTGGTATTATCCAGTTGAAATCTCTATTTTCTGTTTTTCATAGTTTTCATATTCGTCAAGGTTAAATGAGTTGAAATTAAAGAAGCCACACTGCATTGCCTTCTTTACTGCTTGAAAAAAGTCAAGAAGTGTAATGTAGAAACTGCAGCTTCCGTAGGCAGCATCTCTGACAGGAATATAGGCTGTATCTCTGAAGATTAATGTTCTATACGCATCTTCTGGTGTCCTTCCCAAATATATAACAACCAGTCTTTTTTGAACCTTGCAAATATTTCTTCATATTCATAGCTTACATACACATATAAGTAATTTTACTTGTTGTCATTAGCTTTGAGTTAGAACTATTTTATTTAAGCTTTTGAACTATTTTATTTAATTACTTTAAAATTAAATATGAAGAATTGCATTCTAATTTTTAAAAAAGTATAGAGTTTTTTTTCATTCTGTATTTGTCTTTTGGTAACTATACAATAAGTTTTCTTGTGAAGGTAACAATCCCAAACATGGCATATTTCTTAAAACAGCAACACAACAAAAACATAAACTGATAATACATTAAATTAAATATTCTCTAATTTTACTCTAATCGAAGGAAACACTTCAGTTCATGCTGAAGAACCATAGTAAGACTCCAAAGACATTTCTTAGTTACCCTGAGCATGTCTTTTTCATATTACTATTATTTTATTTTCTTAAATTTTTATAGGATATTTTATTTATTTATATTTCAAATGTTATACCCATCCTGGTTTTTCCTCTATCTCATCCCCTCTCCCCCTGCTTCTATGAGAATGCTCTCCCACCCACCCACCCACTCCTACCTCATTGCCCTGGCATTCTCCTGCACTGGGACCATCCTCTGTTATATGCGCCTGGAGTCATGGGTCCCTCCATGTGTACTCTTTGGTTGGGGCTTTAATCCCTGGGAGCTCTGGACAGGGGGTCTGTTGGTTGACATTGTTCTTCCTATGGGGTTGCAAACCCTTTCAGCTCCTTCAGTCCTTCCTCTAACTCTTCCATTGGGGGACCTTGTGCTCAGTCTAATGGTTGGTTACCAGTATCTGCCTCTGTATTTGTCAAACTCTGGCAGAGCCTCTCAGGAGACAACTATATCAGGCTCCTGTCAGCAAGTACTTCTTGGCATTCACAATTCAAACCAGACAAGAGGACTTGAGCTGTATATCCATGGGCCTGTAAAACTAAGCTTATTTCAAGTGAGAATATTTGACTGTTCATGATGGAAAGACTCCTTTATTTTGTTAATCTTAGTTTTTACATTTTGTGGAGGAAATAAGGTGATAAATTGAAACAAAAATTATTTTTTAATACTTAATTCCTAGTTCAGATTCAGTTTTGATTTAGAGAAAAGGGCTATGCTTGTTTATAGTAATTTCCTATAACATAAAGGACTTAAGGTTTGTTTCTATTGGAAAAGGAAGAAAAATTGGTTTTCTAGCCTGAAAATCTCCATTTACGTTTGCAATAGGCAAGTGCCAACTTTATTAGAGGGTCAATTAAAAATTCTACTTGACACATAGGTCCATTTTATCTCTAACCTAACATTAACTCAGCTAGACTTTAAATCTATAACTTTGATAATGCTCTAATTTTAACTTTATTCATCCATTTTCAACTGGTAGAAGCGTGCTTTTAATTTAGTTGCTAATGCACCTAGTGTCACATTCATTTATTGATTCTATTTAAACCACTATTTTCTCTAAAAATGGAACTCCTTGTCATTCTACACCATGTTCCACACAAAGATGTTTGTAACTTCTTTCTTAGTATTTTTCCATGTGAGTTGCACCACTCTAGTTGTCTTTCAGATAAATCATTTTGAATCTCTTCACTGAACCAATACACTCTCCTTTTTATTAATTTTAGACTGGCAAATGTGTTCTTAAATAATCTCCATCTTTATAAAAATGGGTCTTAACACAAGTAACCCAGTAATTTTTGGAGTATCTTAGATTTTTCTCTTATCTGCAAATGAAGATTTTATTGTTGCTGTCTGTCCAAAGTAGCTGTCCTCTAGCATTCTTCTATAGTCATCGTTATTTATTTCATTGGTCTTTTTGCTCATCTATGATTCTCTGAGTGTTCCATCTGTAAATTGACTTACTATAATTTTGATTGCCAAAGCGGTGAATTACTTGACTCATTCCAAATTAAAGCACTGGAAAGAAATAAGAGCTGTAGCTATTTTCGATTGCTCTACTCTGAACCTAGCAATTAAAAATAATTGCTACATTTTCCATTTTTTAAAGCTACTCTGGAAGTAGCTGAGCTTTGAGCCTGTTAAAATAAAATGGAGAAAAAATATTACTTCTAATTATTGCAAAGATTTAAAGTAAAAAAAATAGCTTGATTTATGTAAAAATTATTTTTTATTTACCTTAAAACATTCTTTTAAATACTTCAAAATACTTTATTTTTAACTAATTCAATTATAACTAGAAATTGGAAGTGGCTTATTTGTCATTATGCATATTCAAGCAGAAATGGCATGTCTGTGACTCAGGTTGTCAATGAGACTTTTGCATTGAGGTATCAAAATTACTTGTTTCATCCATAACCATTATCCCACATCCAAAGTAATCTAACCCTAATTTCAACACAAAATAACCTATACAATAACAATGATCTTCACTCAATTTTCTGAAATGAGTCTTTACTTTTATATTATTAGTAGGCTATTAAGCCCGCATGTATGTTTATACCCCACGTACATGTGGTGCCTATGAATGCCAAAAGAGGACAACATCTGAGCCAGGAGTTACAGGTTATTGTGAGCTGCCACATAATCAAAGAAGAAGAGCTGCCAATGATCTTAACCTCTAAGGCATCTCCAGTCTTTGCTTTTTTATAAATTGGTCAAGGTAATCATTTTCATGTCATCAAAAAGTGATCTGAAAATAACGTTTTATTTTAGCTTGTGTCATTTCCTTTACTTGCAAGTTTCCCTTAGTTCTGAGATTTATAGTATGTCAACTTCTAGAGAGTTTATATTGGTATTAAAGATTTAGTGGTTTGTATGTTATGTTTGTAAGTGTTTTGGCTACATGTATGTATGTGTCAGAAGAAGGCACTGATTACCCTGAAACTAGCATTACCTACCATTGTGAGGGACCTTGTTGATTTTAGGAACTAAACTTGGGTACTTTGCAAGAACAGTATGTGTTTGTAACTGCTATGTCTACTCTCAGTCATGTGCTGTCCTCTGGAATACAAATTGTTTCATAGAAAATCATGTAATGCCATGGAAGCTTATGTGTAATTTCAATGTAAACTCAAGGACTGTAAATTAAACCTGGGTAATGAGGATGTAGTTTCATCTTTGAACTCTGTATTCCCCAGCCTGTAAATATACTTTAGTTTCAATCTGGTGTGTTGTGTGTGATTTCATGTGTTTGTTTTTTGGTTTTATGTTTGACTTCCTTTTATGGAATTTTGATATTCCCACTTATGAACTATGCACTATCAACTCTTGATAGTGTTATATATGTGAAATAAAAGAATACAGAGTTGAACAAGTGACTATTTGAAATGTAAACTGATCTGGTCCTATGATCAAATGTTTGTTGACTTTCAACAGAGTCTGGCACAAGGGAGAAAGTAGTCATGAGCCTATGATGCATTCTCCTGCTGGGAAACAGGAGTGACTACAGCCGTGTGCCTGATTGCCTTGCCTGGAATTTTAAAAAGAAGCTTTAAAAATGCTTTTGACATTTTTCTTTTAAAATTCCAGTGATACTGACAATGATTCTTGTAATCAGATCTATTTGGAGCAGAAGAAATGCTCACACCACTATTGCTTTATTCAACTCATTTTGTATGGAATGACTGTATAACAGAAAATGACTGAGAGCATTTTCCCATTTAATAATACCAGTACCTAGGAAATACATTATAAAGTTTCAATTCGGTCAACAAATTTATAAAATGTGTGTATCATACTCTGGTTTTATTCACGAGAATAAGAAGGTCAAAAATAATTGACTTAAATTTCAAAACTATACAGCTAAGGAGTAGAACAGGTTTCAGTCTGACTCACTGGAGCGTGAGCTTGTAACTCACATGTAACTCCCCTTGTAAAAACATGAGAAGACTCTTTTTATTGTTAATCACAAGCATTGTGTTGTGTTGTGAGTTCTTCCTCTGGTATCCTATACTTTGAAAATGGTGAATGTAAAAGTAGATGCTGTGGAGAAAGGATAGCAGCATCAAGTTCAGTCTACACAATTATTTTATCAGTAGTATGTTATTGTCTTCAAGTTAGTTCAAGCCTTTGGTATATTTTGAATTGTTGTTCAAAAACAATTTTTATTTAGTGGATTATTTAACACCCTATGAAGAGCTCCTCTTTTTCCAGTACAATCCCCTAATATTTTCTTGATTTGAAATTCTTTATTACATTTTTATCTTTTATACCCTCTCCCTCTCCCTCTCCCTCTCCCTCTCCCTCTCCCTCTCCCTCTCCCTCTCCCTCCCCCCTCTCTCTTTCTCTCTCTCTCTGTGCATGCACATGTGCGTGTGTGTGTGTGTGTGTGTGTGTGTGTGTGTGAGAGAGAGAGAGAGAGAGAGAGAGAGAGGGAGATAGAGAGAGAGAGAGCTGGCTACAGAGGCATGCATATCATGAAGGTACAAGGACAGTTTTATGCGATGGTCTTTTTGTTTCAATCATACTCTCTTGTTCACTAACTCCTACCCCAGGCTTCTTGGTTCACATCTTTCAAGGATTCTCCTTTCTCTTTCCCCACATAGCACATAGTGTAGCATCTAACTCTCCATCTCTGGAATTACAGATATGTGCTACCCTATACAGCTTAATGTGAGTGCTGGAGTTATGAGTTCAGGGTCTCATATTTGCATGGCAACTACTTTATTGACTAAACATGCAGGAGCTGGATAGATATAGCAGCAGCTAAGAACATACAAATTCTTCTTGCAGAGGATCCTGGTTCATTTTCTAGCACCCACATGGTGTCTCACAACCATACATAACTTGCATTTAAAGAGTTCTATTGATATATTCTAATTTCTGCATCAAGGACATGGTGCACATATGTACATGGAGGGGAAATATTCATACATATAAAATTTGTAAATCTAAAAAGAATAAAAACAAAGCAAAAAAAAACCCTATATATTTTACTATGAAAAGATACAGAGCTGGGGAAAACAATCAATTTAAAATTTACTTTTTATGAGTTAATCTTTTATCCAGCCATTTTGTTAAAGGTATGTATCAGTTATAGAAGTTCACTAATAGATTTTTTGGATTGTTTATGAATATTCTCATGCCACCTGTAAATACTGATACTGTGACTTTTTCCTTTCAAATTCTTATCCCCTTGATCTCTTATAGTTGTCTTATTGCTATACTTAGAATCTCAAGTACTATATTAAATAAAAGTGGAGAGAGTGGATAGCCTTGTCTTATACTTAATTTTAGTGGAACTGCTCTTCATTCTTCTCCATTTAATTTTATGTTAGCAATAAGCTTGCTGTAAATTGCCATTTTAGAAAACTGTGCTATTTCTTTTTTTTTCATTTTATTTTTTATCTTATTTATTTTACATCCTATCCACTACTTCATTCTTTGTTACCTCCTCCCACAATCTTTCCCCATTCCTCCACATTTCTCTTCTGAGTATCCCCCCAGGTCTCTGTGAGGCAAGGTGCCTCTTCTCTCACTAAAGCCAGACAAGGCAGCCCTTCTAGAAGAACATATCCCAAATACAGGCAACAGCTTTTAGGATAGCTCCTGCTTCAGATGCTCAGGACACAGATTAAGACCAAGCTACATATCTGCTACACATGTGAGTGGAGGCCTAGGTCGAGCTCATGTAAGTTTTTGGTTGGGGATTCAGTCTCTGGTAGTCCCTAGGGTCTGGGTTAGGTGACTCTGCTGGTCTTCCTGTGGACTTCCCATCTGTCTCAGAGCCAGCAATCCTTCCTCTTACTCCTTTGTAAGACTCTCCAAGCTCCATCCAGTGTTTTTTTGTGGATGTTTGCATCTATCTGAGTCAGCTGCTGGGTGGAGCCCCTCTTAAAACAGCCATACTAGGCTCCTGTCTGGAAGCCTAATAGTATAATTAATAGGGTCAGCAACTGATGCTTCCCCATGGGATGGGTTTCAATTTTGGCTGGTTATTGGTTTGCTATTCTTTCAGTCTCTGCTCCATCCTCCAAGTGAGTACCTCATGTAGTCAAGACAAATCTTGAGTTGTAAGTTTTGTTTTTGTGTCTCTTTTGCTCCACTGGGGTTCCTGACTGGCTACAAGAGTTGGTATCCTCAAGTTCTATATCCTAATGTTGTGAGTCACATATAAGGTCACCCACATTTATTCTTGGTTAACATCCTTCTCCTGGGTCTCTGTCTCATCCTAGAGATGTCCCCCATTTCATGACTTCCACTTATTCTCATGGCCATCTGGCAATTTCTCTTTTCCTCCCCCACACTGATCCTGAACCCCCATTCCCCTTTCTATCTCCCTTCTCTCCTAGTTTCCTCCCTCTAGTTGATTATTTTACTTCCTCTTCTAAGTAAGACTCAAGGATCCCAATGTGTGTTTTCCTTCTTGTTTAGCTTCTTTCGGTCTAAGGAGCATAATAAGAGTATCCTGTACTTTATGGCTAATATCCACTTATGAGTCAACACCATGCATGTCCTTCTGGGAATGGTTTACCTTACTCAGGATGATATTATCAAATTCTATCCATTTGTCTGCAAAATTAATGATGTCTTTGTTTTTAGTAGCTGAATAGAATTCCATTGTGTAGATGTACCACATTTATTTATCCATTTTTGTTTATTTAGTTGAGGGACATCTAGGTTGTTTCCAGTTTCTGGCTATTGAAAATAAAGCTGCTATGAACACAGTTGAGCAAATATATACATATACATATATATATATGTATGTATGTATATGTATGTATATGTATATGCATATATATATATTTTATTTGTGAAGCATATTTGTGGTTGTTATTACTGGAACAATAAACATGACTTTCCAAAATCTAGAAGGAAATTCAAATCATTCTAGGAATTTCCAAATCCTAGAAGGAAAATACCAACATGTTAGTCAGAAATATAGTTATATTATCATAGTGTTTTACAATCTAAAGAATTCTCTTTCTTCAACTGGGAACAGCAATATTCTAACCCCTATATATTTGACTGGTTCTGCAGCATACTGGAATATATCCTCCAAGCAAGCCGCACTTACACATAAGAATCTATTATTAGTTTGGAGAAGGGCTGGGGGGGATGACACAATAGTTCAAATGAAGATCTTTTCCTCTTACAAAATAGACAAAAAAATTCAATTTATATTTCAGTTAATCCTTGATTATAGTTTCCCAGAAACTTTGGAGATTTATTTTAAAAGTCACTTCTTCAAATCTAAGGTTGATTACCTGAGGGGATGTGTGTGTGTGTGTGTTTATAGATAACATATAAATGGAACTTGGCCATGGTATAGGTGAGTGATCCCTCCTTTGAGCCAGCTCCCGTACTTCAGTAGTAGATTTACGTCTCTAAGAAGTCTGTTGTACTTAATACATTTCCTTTTATGGAGGTCAGAACCCAGTTGAAACTCAAGAGACTTTTTTATTTTTATTTATTTATTTATTTATTTATTTATTTATTTATTTATTTATTTTTTATTGGATGATTTATTTACATTTCCTATGTTGTCCCCTTACCCCATCCCCCACCACCCCCTC